CAATAACGCAAATGGGGCATGCACCATCCCCCACCACAGGCACTTTTCTGATCTCTGAAAGTCAAAATCGTCAAATACGAAATTCAATTGGCAGAAATAATTAAACGAATCTGCTCTTCCAATTTAAGCAAAAAGAAAAACTTTGGACTAATGAAAGAGAAATCAATAATTTCAATCTCATCTCAAATGATCATATGCAGATTAAAAATAATACCGACATTCAAAACCAATACAATCCACTTTAAACACGAACCAAACTTAACTAGCACACGCATAACTACAAGCATATACTGATTCAATAGAGAAGCCAGTACACACACACACACACACACAGAGACATATATATATATAGAGAGAGAGTTGTTGCGGAGAGACCTTAACATTCTTGTCACCAACGACAAGTCCATGAAGAGAACTCCAAACTAGAGCATCATAAACCATCTTCTGAACCAAATCATCGTCTACAAAATCGAAATCCAACAAGGATTTTTTCACCATTGCTCCCTCCTGGGTCTCCATCTCAATTAATCCTCGGTCACACTTGAAAGGCCCAAACTTTGGACGCGAAGAAGAGAAAAGAAGCGGCACCGGTTGGTGGGTCAACAAACCTTTGGGGTTTCCGAGATGGGTACGCGAGAATTTATGGCTAGGATACAATGAAAAATTGGATTTTGATTCTGATGGATGCGAAAAAATACAGCAGCGCCCAGTAGTGGGCAAGCTGACGGAGGAAGTGCACGAAGAATGACCAATACCCATTTTGACCTTTTCTTTCTTTTTCTTTTTGGCTTTTTGAACTGAAACGAGATTCTCATATGTCAAATCCTTTGCTTTCTTTGCAGCCTGGTAATATTCTCAAGTAGATTGCATAGTCAAATAATATATATATATATATATATATATATATATATTTCTTTTTTAATTTTGGGAAAACTAATTATTTAGTGGGGTGGGAGGAATATTAAAAAAAAACTCACTTAAAAAAAAAATAGTATTTATCCGTACACATTAATAATATTAGATTCTAATTTAACAATTTTAGCATCATTAAAATCTTTAATTATATGTTTAATAGTATTTAATTAATTATTATTATTATCCTTGTTGTTATTATTATTTATATTTAAATTATTATATTAATTATTATTTCTTTAAAAAAAAATGGGTTTGAGTTATGTAAATAATAATATATAATTTTTTTTTAAAAAATTCTTATTTATAAGAATATGTAAATAATTGACACATGAACAGAATTTCGTTTTGACCTCCATAAAATTTAGATCATATTATTATTTATAAATTTAATATATATATATATATATATAGTGATAATTTTTAGTTAACCTTTTATCTGTAATAATTTTGTAATTATAATGTGTAATTGTATCAACAAAAAGTTAATAATTTCACCATCTCTATTATTAGTCCTTTATGTTATTATTTGAGATAATTTTTAGAAATATGATTATAAACTTCTTTTATAATATTAATATGCATTCATGATATTATTTATAATTTTATTAATTAATTATATTTTTAGTTTTAGAATTTTAAAATTTTATATTATAATATTTAGTTGTTTTATTTTTATATTTTTTCATTAAAAGTTATAGTATTTATATATATATATATATGTATATTAATGAATTAAAGTAATTTGTAGGTACAATTTATAGCACATTTATAATATGCATGGTAGGTGAGCCTAAGGGGTAAATCGTCTTTTTGCAGATAATATCATGATTCCATCCGTCAACTTAATCTGTTAGTTAATTACTTTTATTATTATTATTAAAGAAATATTAACTAATCAAATATAAGTCTATATCTAAATAATTAGTGTTTATTCAAGAAAAGCTTAGGTTGATAAAACAATGGTTTAAGGCTTTTTAGATTCAATAACTGTAGTTTATTTCTAGTTACATTTTACAATAATTAGTGCTAATTAAAGGTGATTAGCTAGCTTGATTCTCTGTAATTAATCTACTTTTGCTTCGATTAATGAAGGAATTCTTATTCAGATCAGAACCCACTTTTAAGATTGATTTCAAAGGCTTTGGTTCACCCTGTAATTCCAGTGAAGGCAACCTCTCTGTCGATTTCTTCCTGCTGTATTTCCTACTCCACCTAATCTCCTCCACATTCTCATTTATGCTCACCGTTTTCTTTGGAGCTTTTCCTTCAATCCCAGGCTCTGTTGCTTCCTTTTCCCCACTCTCTGCAGAGCTCACATGTCGATCATCATTTTTAGCGTCAATCTCCAGTGAAGAAGACACGAGGCCTGTCTCACCAACTGACGAGAAACCTCTGCCACTTTCAGTCTGCTCAAAAGGGTATGAGTTTCTTGCTGGTTCTGGTTCTGGGTCAGCCTTGGTTCCCATTTCCTGAGCCACTGCGTTTGCGACTTGGTTGCCTTTTGAGTCAGCTTCGGTCTGTTTAGTTGTGGCTGTGGTATCAGGAAGCAGGTGAGGCAAAGGACGGCCTAAGGCCACGGTCTTGAGGGCATGTCTTAAGAAGGTCTGCGTGATGAAGTTGTAGAGCTTGTTGCAAATGCCAATTGATTCTGTTTTGCTTTCCCTATGATCCATTTGTAGGGTTTCTTTTTCTGTATATTTTATTGTGTTTCCTTCATGCAAAACTTCTTATGTAGATGGGATATGCTTGAGGAATGGGGGGGGGGGGGATCCTTTTCTTTTAACCTAGGATATTATACGGTTAAGAAGAAATCGAAACAATCAGGAAGACAGATTCTTTTCTTGGGGAATATTTGGGATTCTCAGAAAGTAAACTCTCAAGAAAACTTGATACTTCTGCTCAAAGCAAGCAGGATCTTCTAACAGTAGAAGAAAATTACAGATATTGGAAATTGACAGAACAATCTCAATACGTGCCAGTTAAACTTCACGGAT